TTTATGTTAGACCATTTATAGCTTCCTAGCCTTAAGTGTACACCATGTACAACCTCTATGACCATTCAGAGGTGATGCTGAAATTGGAAAACTGTTTCTTGTTTTGTTGTTTTTTTTGGGGGGGGGGCTAGGCAATGTTGTTAAGTGATTTGCCCAGGGTCACACAGCTAGTAAGTGTTATCTGTCTGAGGCCTGATTTGAACCCAGGTCCCGCTGAATCCAGGGTCGGTGCTATATCCACTGCGCCACCTAGCTGCCCCTGGAAAACTTTCTTATAAAACTTTTAGTACTAAGTTATAGGATAGTGAATAATTGATCATATGAAGCAACTTTCTGTATTATTACACATTTTTATTGATTTGGCTTCTCTGAACCTTTCAAATAGAAATGGAATAACTATATTTAAATGCATGTATTGTCAACAAATCCCAAATTCTAGCTAACATTAATATTAGCTGTTTTATCCTAACATTAGCCTTAAAGTTTGGCTAATGTTAAATCTCAAGAAAGTAGAAAGCTTTTGAACTGGCCTTAAACAAAGTATTGCTCATTTTTGGCTCTTGTGTTGGCAGTTTAGTAAAAGGGGCACATTTTGTGTTTCTTTCTTTGTGATTCAATAGTAACTGGTCAACTCCGGTTGATATTAATATTGTCATAAACATGGACAACGAGTGAAGTATGAATTTCAAGCAGTTTATGCAAATTGTTACTATAATGAGGGTGATTTTAGTGTATCGCTTGTGAATATTCTCATTACTTTATAGGCACAGTTCATACATCATTTTGGAGTTTAGCTTTTTTAATGGAGAGCTGGGCTTCTTCCAAACAAACAAGATATTTTGAGATCATCTACATGGATTATACAGATTATTAAGTAATATTCATAGCTATACATTATATGAAATGGATCATAAAAAATTTTAGGCATGCATTTTCTCAATGAAATTTCTTAGCCTTCCTCCCTTACTACAATAGCATAGTCATACTGTATTATTCAGATAATAGCAAATCAAAATAACCTTTTAAATGTTATTTATTGAACATAGGAGGCAAAGGTGTGGTTTTCTTCTTTCATTCTTTTGGGATCGTGCAGCATTGTGGAGAAATACAAACATGTACAACTATGTATTGTAAAGTGACTCCTGTGATATATGGGAGGATTATCCACATTGTATCTTTTGCATGGGCAAATCTTGCTTTCAACTTGGCATCATGATTTAATTTGCTTATTTTAGTACTTTAACATCATTATCTCTGTTTACTCTTAATCCCACTGGGTTAGCCTGAATCTTATCAGGAGCTGGAATGGAAGAGAAGGGCAAGGCCCTTTATTCAGAAACAATTAATTAGAACCCCTTCTCTCCCAGAAGGTATGAAGCAAAGGAGAGAGAGAAATACATACATTACATATATATATATAGAGAGAGAGAGAGAGAGAGAGAGAGAGAGAGACAGAGAGAGAGAGAGAGAGAGAGAGAGACAGAGACAGAGAGAGAGAGACAGAGACAGAGAGACAGAGAGGGAAACAGAGAGAGAGACACAGAGAGACAGAGACAGAGAGACAGAGAGAGAGGGAGACAGAGAGAAAGAGACAGAGAGACAGAGACAGACAGACAGAGACAGAGAGATACACACACACACATACACACAGGTGTGGGGCAAGGAAAGCAGTAAAGTGAGAAAGAATGAGGGAAGGAAGAGCTCCATTTTTCTCAGGCTAAAACTTTGCATCAGGGGAATAGATTCATTTCTAGCATCAACTAGGACAATGATCTCCAAACTTTTTGATTGCACAAGTAAAATGTTTTTGAGCATGCATCCCAATATGTCCATATTGACTTATTTATGATATATGTAAATATATGCATTATGGTGCTAATAATTATATCCACTTTAAAATACACAAAAATAGAAAAATTTTAAAGGGTGATAGAAAGATGAAATATTTGCTCCAGTAGTCAATAGAAAGCCACTAGAGTTTATTGAGTAGAGGAGTGACATGGTCAGATCGGTGTTTTAGAAAAGCTATTTTGGCAACTGTGGAGGATAGATTGTTGAAGGGAGAGACTTGACCAATGAAAGGGTATTGCAATAGTTCAGGTAAGAGGACAAGAGTGCCTAAACCAGAGTGGTGGCTGTATGAGTAAAGAAAAGGGAGTAGATGTGAAAAATGAGAGGAGAAAATGGATGAGATTTGGCTATGGATTGGCTATATGGGGGTGAGGGAGGCTGAGAAGTCTAAAATGACACCGAGATTGTGAAAACTTGGGTGTAAGGAAGTGTAGCAGTGTCCTCGGTAGTAACAGGGATGTTTGGAAAATGGCCTAGTTGGGAGGAAAGATAATAAATGATCTCTTGGATCCAGGTCAAAATCCATCCATGCTTGTCAGTCTTGTGTCACTGTGTCCCACTCAACATTCACTACTATCAAACACAGGGCCCATCCTTTCAATGGCACCTACTCCAGGCACTAAGTGATCAAAGGAGGGTTGGAGAGACAGGAGCTAGAGGTGGAATTTTTCCAAAGTTAGTCGTGCAGTTTCTGTAACTGGGTCTAGAGGGGGAGATTGCGAACCAAGCAGAATAGCAGAGGTTAGTGGTATTGGAAACAATCTTCACAATGGCTTATGAAAGAATTGGTGGGAGTTGATCTTTTTTGCTGCTCTGCAATTTTTTTTTAATCACATATAGATCCTGGCCAAGCTATGATCCTCCTTAGGGGAGGGGAGAGAAGGGAAAGGGAAATAAGCATTTTTATAACACCAACTATGTGCCAGGCACTGTGTTAAGCACTTTACAAATATTATCTCATTTGGGTTCCCAGGTCCCACTTTGGAAACCATTGTAACAGAAGAAGTAGAATCTGAATAAGAAGCATGACAGAGAAGGTGGACAGCTTGCCTCCTTCCCCCTTCTTTTAAATCACTTTCTGGGTCAGATTTTCAAAGCATGGTTTCATTTGGGGAAATCCAGAAGAGGGGAGAATTTTCATAAATTCCAGGACCATTTCACATAGCCATGATTCAAATATATGCAATTCAGAAACATTCCAAAGCTAAATATGTATGTATGTATGTATATATATGAATTTAATCAGCCAATAAGCATTTATTATGGAACTGTCAGGTACTGCAAATACAAAGCGAAAAAAAACCCAACAAGAAAACCATACCAAAAAATAAGAACCCTTCTTTCAAGTAGTTTCTGTTGATAGAGGTTAAGATGAAAGCAGATTCTAAGCTGAGGAAGTTGAGGTGAAAAAGGCAGAGAGGTGAGAATGAGATGAAGAAGGGGAAATAGAAAGGGAGAGCAATGAGTTAGGAGAGGGAAGAATTACAAAATTGGGAGTTGGAAGGGACTTCATAGTCTATCTTATCCAATTCATACACCACAGGAATCCTCATTTTAACATACCCACAAGTGGTTACCTAGAACGAGAGGGGCTGAAGCATAAGGAACCCAGGATTCTCTGTGGCAAGCAAAGTATGCAAGGCATTTAATGATCTGGATGGCCTTGAAAGTTTAGTAGGAATTGTGGTCACAGATCATTAAGCCACAAAAACTAATTGACACCAACCAAAGTGAGACCAATTAGTAAACCAAAATGTTAATTTATTAATCTTTAAGGAGAGTTATATTCTTTTGATCATGGTACTACTGGCAAGGTATTCCTTCTAATAATTACATGTGAATCTCTTTGGCCATGACACTTTCCTAATCCCTTTTCTGGTATAAACATTCTGTTGTGTCCCATTGACAGCCTCTGATATCTGGGTTTTCTGCTGATGATCAATATTCTTTTCTGAATACGTGATTCCTGTTTTATTATTTCACTGTTACTTGTAGTCTCTCTCTCTATATCCCATCCCATCTCTATATTTATCCCATCCCAGGGGTACGATGCCTTAGGTTAATTAATGTTTTTAAGGTAATATAATTAATTATGTTAATGAGAAAAACTTGTTTTTGACATTTATCTTCTCTCTTTCTGGTCTGGTTTTTGGTCTAGATGGGTTTCAGAGCTGAGTACTATTTGTGAATATACTGAATCTAGTTGCCAAGCCAGAGGCTCCCCATCTGTTTCTATTTGTAAATAATGTCTTCTCTATTTCTAGGATGAAAAAATTCACCTTAAATCAAGGAGTCCTTTTAAAACCACCCCTTTAAAGCCATGTTATATGAAAGGAGGTTTGTTTGAAATGGATTATCCTATGTTAGACCCTATATCATCATCATCATCATCATCATCATCATCATCATCATCATCATCATCATGATCTTCTTCTTCTTCAGAAGAACACCATCAATTTCAACGATGTCTTAGATGTGAGATCTCCCTTCATGTGCACAGATCAACTGGCCTATAATTTAGTATGTAAATTTGAGAGAGTTGCTTGAAGCCCACAGAGGTTAAGTGACTTGTCTATGATCACCAAATTAGTGTCAGAGGCAGAATTTGAATCTAGGTCTTCCTGAAGTCAACTTCAAAGAATACTATTTTATATTAAATGACATGGACCTCACAAATATGATATATTGCACATGAAAATCAATATGTTGCATGACATGTATTGGCTTTGATGTCCATTAATGAAAGTACTGGTGTCAAGAAATGGTTCTGCACCTCAGTGTTAAATTTCTGAGTATATGTAGTAAAATTTTGTTGCAATGCAGTTACTAATTCTACAGCAAAATTCAATGCGAAGTAGGTCTTTCTTGGAAAATAGAATTATAGAAGTATCAAAAGGCAGTTGACTGCAGTCCTATGGTACAGGTCCCATGGACGGCCTGCCAATGTTCCAGGGTATGACATCTTAAAGACTTGCATCACTGCATTGTGAATATACCAGCATCCCACTGTCAGGTGACTTTTTTATATTCTTAAAAAAAACCCCATAAAACAATTACTACATCCCTTGAAAATTAGTCTTTGAATGAACTGACAGACCTATTTACTGAGTGAAAACATCAACATTTGAAAACAAGTGAGATTTTTTTTCTCAGTAAGCTCTTCGACATTCATAGGACCCCCATACCCCATTCCCATCTTCCTTTGTCCAGGATGGACTCTCATGAAGAGAGGTCGTATCCAGGGACTCATCTAAAGAGAGCTGAATCACCTTGGGAGTTAAATCATTGGTCACTGTCATAAAAGGTGTGAAAGAGTAGGAGGAAGGAGTGGGGTAACCTGAAGTGTAATGCAGGTCCTCCAGGGCATGCAGAGAGTAGGGCTGAGCTCCAGGGAGAGCAGCCCCCCAACCAGAGCTTCTGTGTTGAGAGGGGCTTCCAGACTCCTGTGGTGAAAGGCAATTAGTGCCAGCTGGTAGTGTCTGCAGTGGGTCTGAAGGCACCACATCAGGCTGGTTAAGGCTATCAGGCACTGCCTGCTCCCATGAGTCTCTCTGAGGAAAAAAAAAAGTGAGAAAAGTTGGCAAGAAATGGAATCACATTTTCATGTCTAGGAATTCCTCATCAAATATCCTATGCAAAAATACAGGCTAGAAAGGAGACTTCATTTATTTTTTCCTCTGCTAGATAGAACCCTAGTTTTTAGCTCATTTGTATAGTTTGGCTTATTTCTATAAAAATTTATTTCATTTCTTAATTTAGATTTGTACTTACTATCTATACACTGTTCTCCTCCCTCCCTCCCAGAGAAAAGAAATACAGGAACAGAATGAAACTTTTTATTTTGTTCTCCCTGACATCCTTGGTACATGTTAGACAGCCAAAATCCTTGAGTCCAGTGCCACGCGCTGCACATGACTGAAGGATGGAGCCAGGCTTTCATATAAAGTAGTTACCTACTCTAAGAAGCCTTGTATGATCCAGAAGAGACCTTTCCCCCAAATCTTCTCCCTTCCCTCTGCAACTATAATGCTGCCTAAAATTAATCTATTGAAGATTTCTTGGTTCTTGAAGGTTTTTCAGTCTTCAAGAATGCTTGGTTAAAATGCAAATATTGTTGAGAGGTTAACACCTCTAAGTCTTTATCAGAGTTTACAGACTTAGCAGGGATTATGATAGTTAAGAAGAAAGAACTCCAGGGATGAGAGAAGGACAGGGAATGGGCAGGAAACTTAAGGATACCAAGGGAAGGAGAGATATTCAAATGGAAGACAGATGGCCTACTTCTCAATTTTTACAGATAATACGTTTATATTCTTTGCAGGCCAGAATCCCTATGATATTTCCTTGAATGTTTTGGGGACACCACTTGAATTTTCTTTCATTTCTCACATCTGTTACATCAGGTAGGAGTGCTTCTCCACAATGAATTAGGGGGAATCCTAACTGAACCTGGGATTTCATTGGTTTGGGGAATTCCCAGATGACCTCATCTACCAAGTGCAGGTCAATCCCTTTGCAATTTAGTCAGTCCTAGAGATGTAGTTGCCTAGAGTACTGATTAGTCAAAGCAACAGTTAGGACTTAAGCCCTGGTCTTCCTTCTCTATTTACTACCCCACACTGCCTCACGAAATGAATTAAAATTTGTTAAATCATTGAAATCTATTAAGTATTAATACAGTGACAAGAATAATGAATTAGCATTTTTCTACAGGATGAATCTTTTTTTCTCAGGACTCTGAAAGCCATTTCTAAGAAGGGCTTTCCCTCAGTGAGTATCCTTGTAGTAGCGTTAGGCAGTGCCATACTATAATCCTCTTGTTTCTGGGGCTACACTAAATGTATAAGCAGTGTCCTGGAGCACAGAGTCAGTTTGCTGAGCTCTGGGGGCGGGTGTGTGTGCGTGCGTGTGTGTGTGTGGGTGTAATTCAATTGGCCTGCAAGAAAACAAATCAATCCTGGGTGAAAAGTCTCTTTGTCGGACAGAGACTCTCTGGGCTCAGCTTCGGAGCAGCCTCAGTGAAATCCCCAACTTGCTTGTAAGACAGGTTGGTGATCTGCACGGAATTCGCCCCGCTGTCAACTTAGTCTTCAAGAATCTCAGAATACTCACAAATACGAAGTGGGTGGAGTCACTCGTAAAGTGTGGTTGTAGAAGCGGCGGGGGCAAGGGCGAAGCACCAAAGAGAGAGCTCGTGTTGGGGGTTAGAGCTGCTGGGCGGTAGTCTCCATAAGGCTCGGAAAAGTAGGAATCCAGGATCGGTGGGTAATTTTGCATTGTAGCGGACTCACAGGAAAAGGGTTTAGCCAGGGTTGATTGGTAGCCATCATTCGAAAATTGTTTAGTGTTGTGGAAATCCGAGTCAGATAAAAAAGATCTTCTAACACCATAGTAACCTGACGTTGCAAGTGAGCCTGTTGCCAATTTTAAAACAAAACAAAACGGGGGAGGGGGAGGAGAGGAGAGGGAAAGAATATTAAGCCTAAATGACGAGAGCTGGTCAATCACTTTTGTGCTCTATTGTACCTTATGGATACCTCCCTGATACTAACGCTAAACATCCAGGGGTAAGTATCCTGGGAAAGAGCCAAGTTGTCCTGAGCTGTCACTCTTAAATTCTCCGATCAAAACAACGATCATTTACTCTGCTCTTAAGTATGAATCCATCAGAGACTACTTGGGAAGGTTAGCATGGTATATACGATCAGTCCATCCTGGTGCTTACAACCCTCTACAGTCTGGCTCCAACCTATTTCTCCAGTCTTATCTATTACTATGTTCCCTCATATGTTTTGGGCTCCAGTCAAATTGGAATAAGTGCTATGCCTTCCCTAGTCTGTGACCAGGCTCATGCCATTCAGGACGCCTGGAATGCACCCCCCACCTCCCTACCACTCTCCTCCACCAGTTGAAATCAAGGTTTAGTTCCAATCTAGCTTTCAGGTCTAGTTTAGGTGCGATCTGCTCCAATAAACCTTTCTTCATCTCCTCTGTCAGAAGTAATGTCCCTTGGTTTCTCATAGTATCTTTTTTGATACCTTGGTTTTGATTTTATTATACTATGATTTCTATTATGATTCTCACCTCTCTCATTTGACTAGCTCTTTGAGGGTAGGGATAAGGGCAAGAATCATGTTTTTTTCTTTCTAAATTTTTATGCGTCTGGGCACCTCGGGTAGCACCCTATATCACTAAGAGTGTTTGATATTTGCTATTTCATTGAATTAGTCAACTTTGTATTCCTTATGTCTAAAATGATTACTTAATAAATACTGCTTGAAATAAATGGACTTGAATGAAACAAAACAAAGTAAAAACACCTTTCAAATTATCTTTAAACTTTATGAAACTATCTACCTTCTCTGTACCTTCTATTGCCACAGTCCTTCCATAGAGGTCATTGTTCAAGCCACCTTTGTCCTTGGACAAGAAGGGTTGGATCCCAAATTATATGGTTTTGTATTTAGCCATTCAACAAACAATCAATAAATAATCTATTTTGTGCAAGGCTCTGTGGCTACTTGGGGTGGTGGTGTCCAGAAGCACTTAACACAATGCTTTGCATGGAGAAGACATCTAATAAATGTTCCTTGTTGATGGTGATGGCAATCAGGTAACTGTGAGGCAAAGGCAAGGAGCTGGGGCTGGCATTTTCTGGTCTTTGCTATGTTTATATTATCTGCCTCCCTCTAGTGGCTCATATGTTCTCCTTCACCCAGGTCTGAAACACCAGAATGTCAAACCTTGGACTTTTTAAAAGAGAGGGCTAGGATGAAAGAGGGATAAGAAATTCAGTTCAATTCAACAAGCATTTTATAGGCACCTGCTATGTGCTAGTCATTGTACTAAGCTCTGGGAATACAAAGACAAAAATGAAAACAGTTCCTGACCTCAAGGAGCTTACATTCCATCAGAGGAAAGGTGTATACAGTTAAGTAATACAGAATCTTTACAAAGCCATTTTGGGAAGGTGGGGTGGGAAGCACTAACAATTGTTGGGATCTTGAAAGGCTTAGTGGAGATAGTACTCGAGCGGTGACTTGAATGGAGCTAATGATTGTAAGAGGCAGAGATGAGGAGGGAGAAGTTCTAGGCATGGAGCATGACTGACCTGTGCAAAAAAAAAAAAAAAAGCCCCAGAGAAAAGGGAAGAAGTATCCAGTACAGAGAGTTGTAAGAGGGCCAATTTGATAGGAATACAGAGTACATTAAGGGCACTAATAGGAAATCAATCTGGAGACACAGGTTGGAGACAACTGTGATGTCTCCAAACGCCAAAGAAGAGGAATTTCAAGATGACCATATTCATGCGTGACGGAAAGTTGGTGAGATAATTGGGATGGCAAGAAAAATGTTAAACATTGCTTTTGAACTGTGCTGCTGCTACATTTCAGGGAAAAGTCACATTCTCAAAGGTAGGTAATGTTACATTTTTCTCTTTTTTTTCTTGCAACAGAAGATGATCTATCAGCTGAAAATATGTGCAGTTGCAAAAATAAATGTGTTGCTGACTAAGATATCCTAATCAATCAATTCTGCAATCATGCACCCTCTCAGAAGCAGTGTTCCTACCACACAGCACAACTCTGAGTCCCCTATTCTATTCTTTACCCCAAATAGAGGAGGAGTTGGCAACGTGGGGATGGAAAGGGAGTTCCTAAACCAAGAGCACCAATTAATCTCCCTTTCCTCTAAATTCCTACGGCACTTCATATTATGTCCATTATTATTTCATATATGTTAGCCTTATCTTTAGCATTCATGTATAAGCTCCATGGAGTGAGGGATCATGTCTAATACTTTCATATCCCTTGCAACCATTTCGTATAGCACCATACATATCACAAGTTGTCTCTGGATCAAAGATTTAGAGACTCAAGGAACTAGAGAGATCATCATCTGACCCCTTCACTTCACAAATAAAAACCAACAAACAAAAACCAAACTGAGGCCCAGAGAGGTGCAGCAAATAATTTGTCCAAGCTACACATGTCGTAAGTGGCAGAACTGAGATTCGAACCCAGGGTCTCTGAAGCTGAATGGAATTAGAATTCTCCAGAAAAGAACAAGGACGTCATTGTAATCCACTCTATTCCATCTTGAGCTCTGTATCCAAAAGCTTCTAATCCTGCCATAAGTTTGAAGACTACAGTTACAGCCTTTGTGTAAAGGGTGCTATTTCAGGGAAAAATTTACACAAGTGAAAATTAAATCAATAAATAAAGCTGTGTTTTACACAACAATATTTAGAGCTACAAGGGTGGGTAAGGCCAAGAACGGAATATGTAAATAATGTTCCCATGCCCTCGTATCCAAATTTCCAACTCCTGGATAGAAAGATCCTTTAAAAAAAAAAAGAAGATAATTCTGCCTTTAGGAATATGGCGATTTTTAATTCTTAAAAGGAATGAAGACATGTTAAGATTTTAGGCAAAATGAGAAATTACAGGAACTGGTTAGCAGTAGCAGGTTCAAAAGGACAGTAAATGGAATCTGGGAATGCTGGATGGAGAACTGTCACTAGACATACTTGGGTTCTCAACTGAAATACCTTTTTGGACCTTATCATTGGCACTGAAGGTATTGAAGCTACTATTCATTCATTTAATAAGCATTTATTTAGTACTTACAATGTGTAAGGCATTGTATTGATAAACTTCCCAAATTACTAGTATTCTCTTCTTTTTGGAATTACTTTGTTGTACTTTGGGCACAAATTTTATTAACTTACTTTTTTGTATATCTGCATGTTGTATCTCTTCCCCACCATCCCACCCCCAAACCCAGGGGAATATAAACTTTTCTGGGGCAGACAGATTTTGTTATTGTCTTTCCCCCTACACCCAATATGGTGTCTTTTACATAGTAGGTGCTTTAAAACGTTTGTTGAATTAGATTGAATAGTTAGTTGCTCGTGGCACAGAGACAAAACACAAAACTGTCCTAGCCCCTCAAGAAACTTAATGTTTTTCAGGACAATAGAAGCCAGTCTTATCTCAGAGGGATTCTAGACAGTATGGAGGATTGAGTTTTATTCACTTCTCCTCACTATGTATCAGGAATGGTCTTTGAAATCCTATTATTACAGATAGATTTTATTTTTCCCTCTTTTCTAGTTATTGCTTCTTAGACTAATGGTTTGCTAGCTCCTTTATGAAATTCTTTAGAGAATGTGCTAAATCTGTTCTTTAGATACCTGTGAAGGGAAAATTTGTCATTATTTTCAAAGACCTAATTGCTAACTGGACTACTTAATCAGCTTCCTCTAGACTAGGGGTTCTGATCTTATGGTTCATGGACCCTTAATAAGTCCATGGATAGATTTCTGAGTGGAGGAGGGGGAGGTCTAACGTTTTTTTTTTAATTGATAACTGTATTTCAATAAGATTGGTCTCCTTTGTACATCTGTATATTTTATTTTAAGCATTTAAAAACATTATTCTGAGAAGGGGGTCTATAGGCTCCCTTGGATTGTTAAAGGGGTCTACGACGCAAAAATGTCCTATGTGAAGTCTGTGATTCCCCCTGAACTGGGTGACAGGCTTTCAATAGAGTGTACAAAGATAATAGTGATTATAGTAGGCTATGTGTGAGTGAATATATACTTTATCTGAAGAGAAGATGCATTGGGAAATACTTTTTAGTGTTGCAAAATGTGTATGCCAGATGAAAGTCAAATTGCCTGATTTTAACCAAAAAACAAATAATTGATAGAGTTGTTTGTTGTACTCACCTGGCATCTGGACAAATGGAGACTGAGAGGCATTGGTATCACCCTGGAAAACAAAGACAGTCGGAATGTGTTCTCCTGACTTTCCAAGTGCAAGCCAAAAGATTGTAGACATTGTTTTGCAGGCTTCATTTTCAGAAGCTCTGAGGTACAGATTTCAAGTATTATAGGAGCAGGTGTAGCAAACAGAAAGAACTCAAGCTCTTGCATGCTAACAATGGTTTCAGGAATGCTAAAATGGAAGAATTTATCTTTTGTTATTTATTGTTTACTTTCTTATCTTAAGAACTATGAGTGGAGATTCTGGTTATACGGTACAGGGATGGAACATGAAATGAAAATATGGCCCTTAAAGTTAAGCTCAAGGGAGGTGATGTGTAATAACTGACATCTCTACAGAGATTTATATATAATACCTCATTTGAATCTCACAATAACTTTGTGAAGGAGGTACTATAGATATTATTACAGATGTGGAGACTGAGGCACAAAAACTTGCCCACGTTCATATAGCTAGTATCAGAAGCAGCATCTGAATCCAGGTCTCTCTAATTCCAGGTCCAGCCTTCTACCCATTATTAGAGCATACTGCCTGTGTAGCAGAAACACTCTTAAATCCAGGGTCAAGAGATTTGCATTCTATTCATAGTTGGAATATTATCATAATTGTAGTCATAGAATTTAGAACTGGAAGGAATAATCCAGAGGAACAATCCACCATCCTTGCCACCACTGACCAATAGCCACCATTAATCAATCAGCTTTGAGGCTGTCAAGCCTAAGAGCTCTAGGAACAATAATGTCCTCTGGCCTTTGCTTCTAGGCTCCACTCTCTTCCCCTCTCCCCTCCTTTCAGTCATCATCTATAGAAACAACCCTTGTGGCAGAGGCAAATGCCTCTGTAAGTTCTTCCTCTCCTCCTTCCTCTCTTCTCTATCCCCTTTACCTCCCTCTAAACCTCCTGAAAATCCAGAAAAGAAGCTGTCACTAGTGAAGTCCTTGGCATCATCAAATGGCTCATTAGCAGAAACATATATGGTTGTATTAATGAAAATGACACTAAAGAATGTATCAGCCTTGCTTCTGTACCCTGAAGACCACTAAGCCTTACCCTCTGACTTGTAGATGAGATTTCCTGTTCATGTTGTCTCCCCTATGAGAATGGGAGGTTCCTCAGAGCACACACCATCCTTTCTTTTTTAATCTCCAGTGCTTAGTACAGTATGTATTTTATACTTAATAATTGTTTTTTCATTTATTCATTTCATTCATTCCAAAGAAGCTGAAGCCCAAAAAGATAGCTCTGATGTTGAGTTCCAACATCTAATATTTTGGCTTTGAATTCTCAGTTATGATGTTAATACTTTGGAAACTTCAGCACAAAGCTCTTTTTGAGTATGAAATGATCAAGGCCAGGATGGTTTAGTATCTCATTCACATATTGCATGGAAAGAAGGTAAGGGACAAAATTATAATAATACATTTCCTTGTTTTTCTCACCAGGCTCCCCTTCTACAATCAGCTGGAATTACTCTTACTCTTTCCTTCTCAAACTCAGCCCCAGTCACAAAAGTCCTTTCCTTTTTTGAACTCTCTTTTTGATTAAGAGGCCCCAGTGGCTCCATATTGCCTACAGGATTAAATGCAAACTCCCTTTTGACATTGAAAGTCTTTCACAATCTGGCTCTAACTTATCTTTCAGATTGTTTTCTCAGGACTCTGTCTCTTACATGCTTTGTCTCAGACAAGCTAGTCTTCTTGTCATTCCTCTTATATTCCTCTGTACCTCTTGCCTGGAAAGCTCTCCCTCCTTAACTCTACCTCTTGGAATTCCTGGCTCCTTTTAAGACACTCAAGTGTCAACATCTTGCACGAAGCATTTCCTCAGTCATTAGGGCTCTCCCTACTCTCCTCTCAATTTATTATATATTCTGTCTCTGCTTCTGTCTCTACATATACGTATACAAACTAAATATACATATACAGACACACATAATATGAGTACATATATGTATATGTAAATATAAGTATACACATATGTGTATGTATATTTATGTATTTATATTTATTCATCTACTTAACTATTATTTATTTATCAGTTCATTTATTTATTTAGCTGCATGTGTGTTTTTCCCCAAAGTGGAATGTAAGCTCTTTAGAGTAAGAGATTTTTTGGTTTTTATCTTTGTATTCCTAGCACCTAGTATCATGCCTGGTACAGGGTACACACAATAAATGACCGTTGAGTTTAATTCCATACATTGGCAGAAGGGGGATGAAAGGAAGAATTACTGCAATTACTTTTAGTAAATATATGGGAAGAACAGGAAAATGTTATCAAAGGATCCTTCATTTAGAGCTGGAAGGGACCCAAGAGGTCAAGTCCAACCTCCTCATTTTCCAGATGAGAAAACTGGAGCTGAAAAGTGAAGTATTGGCCACAGTCACAGAATTAGCAAGCGGAACATGGGGACATAGGAATCTTGAATCTTTATGTTATTTATTTTATGACTGGTGGAATAAAAAGGGAATCTAAGTATATATAAGTGCCATGAGTGCAGCAATGAAAAGGTGACTCTAAAATGGTCTGTTATGCTTCCCTGATGACAGCAGAAAGACAATTATGTTGCTGCTCCTGGATTTCCAGACTAATAAATATACACTGTGTGGGTGAGTACCACTTCTCTTCCACCCCTTCTTCAAAAAAGACAGCTATTTGCAACCCACCTGTCTGCCAATAGAGCTGCCCAATAGGATGTTGTTCTAGCTCCTGAGATACCAATTTGTGCTGCTCAGGCTTCCCTTTCTTTTCATCCATCAGCTCCTTCACTTTCCCTTCTTGTAATCCCTCTTGTCTTTCTCCCTCTTAGTGCTTCTTCCTCTTCCAAGCCTATATTCACTGAAGGATAGCAGTTCTAGGCTTTCGAAACCCCAGAATTCTCACTAATTAACATAACCTTTAAGAATAATGAATTTTATTTACTATTAAATGAAAAATCCTAAATCTTGAATGTAGACCCATATGCTTTCCTGTGTCCATATACTCCCTTGCTATTCTTTTCTATTTAAAGTAGCTGAGATAGTTCCTCATTTCATTCCCCTTCTGGCAATGTTTGCAAAGAAAAAGACTAGAGAATGCATTGGCAATTTCAACCACAGAGATTACCTTCCACCTATATTTTATATATCTTATATGTATATAGTTGTTTGCATGTTCTCTCCCCTAATAGACTGCAAGCTCCTTGAGGGCAGGGATCATGTTTTTTCCTTTCATTGTATCTCCAACGCTTAGCACAGTGAGTGGCATGTAATAAGCCCTTAATAAAGGCTTGTTGACTGACTGACAGTAACTTTTCAGGTGACCTGTTCCCACCTCATCAATGAATGGAACCCAGTTTCAGTGCAAACACTACATTGAATATGGAGTTATGTTGTGGGTAACAGCACAAATCCTCTCTTTCCTTAATTTTCTTCAAGTACAATGTTATCACTTTCTGTTCTTCAGTATCACAAAGTCATACAATGGTAGAGTAGGAAGGATAATCTAGTTCAACTTTCTTATTTTAAAGGTGAGGCTCAAATGAGGGTGGGAAGGGACACAGGAGGGGAGAGTATTTGGAACTCAAAGTTTTAGAAATAAATGTTAGAAATTGTTTTTGCATGCAACTGGGAAATAAGATACCCAGACAAAGGGGTATAGAAATCTATCTTACCCTACAGGAAAATAGAAGGGGAAAGGAATAAGGAAATGGGTTGGTAATAGAAGGGAGAACAGATTGGGTGAAGGGAGAATCAGAATATAGGCCATCAAGTGCCCAGAGGGGAGGGATGGGGAGAAAATTTGGAGCTCAGAATCTTGTGGAAGTGAATGTTGAAAACTATAAATAAATAAATTGAAAAAAAAATAAAGGTGAGGTTCAGACAGGTGATGTATCTTGCTTAAGGTCACATAAATGGTGCCCATCACAGGGCCATCAATTCAGGTCTGCTTTTTTTTTCTACAAAGTTATCAAATATTATGCCAATTAGATTGATTGAATGTTAGAATCAGTTTATTTCACTCAAGTCAGAAAGGCCAAGAATTTTTTACTTAAGTGTGAAGGGAACAATGGTCCCAAGGTAATACTGAGAAAGGAGTAGTGAAACAAGGTTATTATTTTTTTTTAGTTTGTATAATAAATATGGTGAGATGGGGCTTAGAATATTAGCTTATATGACTGTCTAGTTTCAACTGTGCTCCCCCAGGCCTTCTGCAGGCCTAGGCTCATTTTGTTCAGTGTTGTTATCCATTTAAATAATATACTCTTTAGAAAAGTCATTAATGTATGTCAATTCAGCCTTACAGTAGGGTATTCACCAAGTCTGCACTTCTTGCGGCCCAACAGAAAGGAAAAAAAAATCTAGGAATCATTAAGTCCTATGTTCTATCCTGTCCCTTCCATTTAATTAACTCTGTGCCTTAAAGCAAATCACTTAATTGCTGGTCTTTGTGCCTCCATTTCATCATTTGTCAAAATGGGAATAATAAGAATACTTCACCTCCCTACTTCATAGGTCTGCTATGAAGATTGAATAAGATCATCACTGAGGACATACTGAAAAAATTGAGAGTGCATACATTTAAAAGATATCATTAAAGTAAAGATGTAGGCAGTAGCTACCGGGTCCAAACAGATCAGATACACATTGGGTCAGTTTCTTCACTCCTGTAGAGAAGAAATCAGTAGTGCTTTCTCTGGTGTAAATGTTATATCCTCTTTGGGTAATTTGTCAGTTATTGATTTTGATAATATATAGGGCAATAATAATGGTTTCAGATCATCTTACATAGAATCGAAGAAGTCTAAAGAATGAATTAGTGTTAGGATTAGATAGGGATTTCAAGCAGAAAGATTTTCCAGATCTGAAAACTTATTTGGTTGGTTTAGGGAGAATGGCTGAGAAATTTTCAAAATGAGGGGTAAGAGTGATGAGAATGTGGTATCATATACACATACAAATTTTTAGTACCCTGGGAAGGGACAGCTCAGATCCACATTACTGTAA